TTAGAAAAATGACTAATAACTTCATTTCATTAATTTCAATTCCTAAATATGAAATATTACATTCTATTTGTTTGCTTATTTTAGTAGTTTGTTTGAATTATAGATCAGGAGAATTGGAAATGTCTCCTGTTTCTAAATGTTCAGATTGATATACACATAATGTACTAATCATTTTAAAGTAAGAAGTCAAAATTCATTTAAGATATTCAGGCAATCTCCAGACTATGAATGAGTTCCTAAATCTGCCTTGTAGTAGAATTCCTATGGAAGTTGAACAGTTAGGGGCTGTTTGTATATGTCATTCAGATGTGTGTCAGGGACATAGTATGCCTTTCTCTACATACAACATTAAAGAAAGATTTGCAGGTCCTCTAAAAAGCATTTAACAATGCCATGATTGCATTTTGGTGAGCACATCGCCAAGTGGCACCCATTGTGAGCTGTTGTGTGTACCGCAAATGTTTTAGACTTTGTGGGGGCTGGTGGTTCAGAACTGCAGGTTATACTTAACTCTGTTTCAAACCTAAGGACTGCCTAAATTCTTCTAAGAAATTCAATCCGCTTTTTGTGTTCATACAGAACAGGGCTGGGAGACAGTGTTACATTTGTAAAACATTTAACTGATAATAAAAAGAAAAGGCAAAAATCCTTAAAATATCCCTTTTCACTTATGAAAACCTTTCTACCCATAGCAAACTGGCTTGTGGCAACACAGGGTTATTTTAAAACTAGAATGTTGATCTGATGTTGATTCCTCTACGTGCTTACCAGGTATCAGCTGCATCCATTGTGAACAAGACCTCATGAGGGTGAGCAGACAATTAAGTAGCTGGAAAACCAAGAACTTAAGTCACAAGCTTGATGGTAGTATGTTGGTTATAGAGCCAAGTTAATCATCCTTCCTTAAGACAGACCCATATATAGACATACTTACAACTAGGTTTCATATAGAGCCTTATACTCAGAGATCTCTCGGGAAGAAAAAGAATTTGATAGGTGACTTTTTAACTGTTGGTAATGTTTTAAAGATGGCTTTTGTGACTGGAGAAAACTGGGCAAAGTGTTAGTTCTTAAGAGTTGTAAAAAGAGAGTCCTGGGATTAAGAATTAGAGAGGAAAATCCTTCCTAGAGGGTTAAACTATGATGAATAGAACCAGTGTTGTCATGAGATGATACCAGAAAATGAACCTCTCAGGTCAGAAGGCACTCAAAATATGACTGAGAAAGGAGCTGCCTCCTCAAAGGAAGCTGGACCAGAATGATGTCAATGGAAGTCAAGTCTGTAAATGGAGTACAGACTTTGGGACCTTCATTTTCTATTAGGTCGTGACTCAAAATAAGAAAAAAACAGCTGCAAAAATCTACTAATAATCAGAATTGGAATGTATGACGTATTGAAAAAGTTTAAGGTGTTAAAAATAAACTGGAACACATAATGATTGATAACCTAGGTGTTAGCTGAAATGGACTAGTATTGGTCATTTTGGATCAGAAAATCATATGTCCTATGCTGAGAATGACACAATCAAGAAGAATGACCCTGCATTCATCATTAAAAAAATACAATGCTGTCTGTGATAGCATTATATCTATCCTCATTCAAGAAAATACAACGAATGT